TGAAAACCACTCAAATGTAACAGGAAAAACAGAAACTATTTCTTCATCTACCTTCCCTGTGGGGAGGGCATATCGTTTACATAGCATGTTTCAGTCAGAGAAGTGATTTTGCTTGAATAAGTGATCCTAACAAATTAAGTCCATCATGAACTAACACATGAAAGAGAGCTCTGAATGGGAATTACCAGGTAAGAGAATGGAAGTCCATGGCAATATATGTAGAAAATCCTAAGAACTCAACAACAAAAAAAATGGTTAGAGCTGATAAATTAATTCAATAAATTTGCAGGATACAAAGTCAACATAAGACAATAAATTGCATTTCTATACACTAACAATGAATTATCAAACTGAGAAATTAAGAATATGATCCCATTTACCATAGTACCAAAAGATTAAACAGAAATAAATTTAACCAAGGAGATGAAAGATCTATACACTGAAAACTGTAAGACACTGATGAAAGAAGACAAAAAGAAATGGAAAGATACTCCATATTGATGGATTGGAAGAATTAATATTGTTAAAATGTCCATACTACCCAAAGGGATCTACAGATTCAATTCTATCCCTTTCAAAATTCCAATGTCGTTTTTCACAGAAATACAACAAACAATCCTAAAATTTGTATTTAACCAAAAAGATAAAAAGAATATTAAGGAAGAAGACCAAAGCTGGAGGCATCACACTTTCTGATTTTAAAATGTATTAGAAACATTTAACATGTAATCCAAACAGTATGATGTTGGCATAAAAGTAGACATATAGACCCATGGAGCAGAAAGGAGAGCCTAGAAATAAACCCATACGTATATGGTCAACTGATCTTGACAAGGATGCCAAGGATACACAATGGAGAAAGAAGAGCCTCTTCTGCAAATGGTGCTGGGAAAACTAGATATCCACATGTAAAAGAATAAAATTGAACTCTTTTTTAAAAAAGATTTTATTGGGGAATTGGGGGAGGGGAACAGACAAGTTGCTATCCCTTTTTCTTTGGTCTAGTTGTGGAGGACATCGCTTCACTGGCCCATGTTGGCATTATCACTGAGCTCTTCCCGGGTGAGACAATTGGTCGCGGGCTGTTGGACGGCTGCTCACGGCGGCTCATGGCAGCTCATGCCAGCTGCTGGCCACTCTGCTGCCTGCCAGCCATTCACAGTAGCCCATGGCAACCCACTGCAGCCCTGCTGCAGCCTACACTGTCACCAGCGACTCACGGCAGCCCAGCTCTAGGTCGAGCTATTGTTCACCATCTTAGCTGTAGAGGGTGCAGCGTCACTGGCCCTCATGTGGGATCCAAACCACGGACCTGCTGCTCACAGCTGTCACTCCCAAGCCAACTCTTAACCAATGCACCACACGGCTGGCCCCAAATTGGACTGTTATACCACACACAAATATCAATTCAAAATGGATTAAATACTTTAACATAAGCCTTAAATCCTAAAACCGCTAGAAGAAAACATATGGGAAAAACTTCTAGAAATTGGCCTTGACAATGATTTTTTGTTTTTCTGTTTTTTGGGTTTGACACCAAAAGCACAGGCAACAAAAGCAAGGTAGACAATTAGGGTTAAATCAAAATAAAAAGCTTTTTCACACCAAAGGATATAACCAAGAAATGAAGATGCAGTCTATGGAAAGGGAGAACATTTTGCAAACCATATATCTGATAATCCAAAATATATGAAAAACTTCTACAACTCAACAGCAAAAAAATAAATAATCCAATTTAAAACATGAACGAGGAAACTCAATAGGTTTTGCTCCAAAGAAAATATAAAAATGATCAACAGGTATATGAAAAGGTGCTCAACATAACTAATCATCAGGGAGATATAAGTGAAAACCACAATTAGATATCACCTCACACTTGTCAGAATGTGTATTAAAAAACAAAAACAAAAGAAAACAAATGATGGCAAGAATGTACACTCCTGGTGGGAATGTAAATTAGTGCAGCCATTATAGAAAATAGTAGGAAGATTCCTCAAGAAATTTTAAAAAAACTCACATATAATCCAGCAACCTTGCTTCTTGGTATATATCCAAAGGAAATGAAAATGAAATCAGAGATACCTGCACTCCGGTGTTCGCCACAACATTATGTACAAAGACCAGGACATGGAAGCAAGCTAAATATACCTTGAAGGTTGACTAGACAAAGAAAACCTGGTATTTACATACAGTGGAATATAATTCAGCCTTAAAATAGAAGGAAATCCTGCAATTTGTGACACCATGTATGAGCCTAGAGTACATTATGCTAACTAAAATAAGCCAGACATGTAGACTAAATGATACCACTTATATGAAGAATCCGGAACAATCCAACTAAATAAATGAAGCAGAGTAGATTGGTGGTTGACAGGGGCTGGCGGGTTGACAGGATGTATTAGTTAAAGAGTACAAAGTTTCAGTCCGTAAGATTGACTTAAGGGAGTTCTTTATATATTCTAGATATGAGTCCTTTGATTGGTATTTGCATTATGAATATGTTCTGCTAGTTGGTGATTTGAGTTTCTCCTTTATTATGACTTATTTTAATGAGTAGAATATTTTAATTCTTTTTTATTGAGGTATAACTGACATACATTATATTAGTTTAGCTGTACACATAATGATTTGATATTTGGATATACTGCACAATGATCACCACAATAAGTCTAGTTAACATTTATCACCATACATAGTTACAAAATTATTTTCTTGTGATGAAAACTTTTTTTACTTTCTTAGCAACTTTAAAATATGCAGTACAGTATAATTACCTATAATTGCCATGCTGTACATTACATATTCATAACTTATTTTATTGTATAACTGGAAGGCTGTGCTTTTTTTTTAAATTGGGGAGTTGGGGGAGAAGAACAGTGTTGGGGAATTGGGAAGGGTAACGAGTTGCTGTTCTTCAATCTTAGTTGTGGAGGGTGCCAGTCACCATCTGGCTGCCCGTCAGCAGCTCTTGGCCTCTAAGCTCAAGGTTCAGTGTTCAATCTTAGTTGCGGGTGGGTGTAGCCATTATCCCATGCGGGAGTTGAACTGGCAGCCTTGTTGCTAAGAGCGCACATTCTACCCACTGAGCGACCTGGATGGCAGCTCAGCTCAAGGTGCTGAGTTCAGTCTTAGTTGCCGACAGATGTAGCCCACCATCGAAGAGGCAGTCTTGGCAGCTGAGCCATCCTGCCAACTGTTGACAGCTCAGCGGCAGCTCAGCTAGGGCGCAGCGTCACTGACCCATGTGGGAATTGAACCGGCAGCCCTGTTGCTCAGAACTCGCGCTCATAAGCTAACTCTTAAAAAAACTGAGCCACTCAGCTGGGCCTGGAAGTTTGTACTTTTTGACTCCTTTTACCCATTTTTCCCACTCTCCACCCCCTGCCCTGGTAACCACCAATGGTTTTCTTTATCAATGGCTTATTTCTTTCTTTTTTGATTTCATATATGTGAGATCATATGGTATTTGTCTTTCTCTATCTGACTTATTTCGCTTATCATATCCTCTCAAGTTCCATTCATGTTATTGCAAATGACAAGATTTTTTTTATGTCTAAATTATATATATATATATATATATATATATATATATATATATATATTCACATTTTCTTCATTCAGTTGTCAATGGACCATAGATATGAGTGTTTCCCATATCTTGGCTATTGTAAATAATGCTGCAGTGAACATAGGGGTGCATGTATTTTTTCAAGTTAGAGTTTTTGTTTTCTTCAGATATATATCCAGAAGTGGAATTGTGGTATCATATGGTAGTTCTAGTTTTAACATTTGAGAAAATTTCATACTATTCTTCATAGTGGCTGCATCAATTTACAGTCCCACCAACAATGCACTAGGTTTCCTTTTTCTCTATATGCTTGCCAGTTTTTGTTATCTCGTCTTACCAATAATAGCCATGAAATATTTTAATTCTGATGAAGTCTAATTTAATAATTTTTTATATATAGTGCATGATATTTTATATGCTGTTTTAGAAATCTTTGCCTACCCCCAGATTATAAAGATTTTCTTCTATGTTTTCTTTTAGAAGCTTTGTTATATTAGTTTTTACATTTAGGACTATGGTTTATCTTAAGTTTATTTTTGCATATGGTATGAGTTGAGGATCAAGGTTCATTTTTTTCCCCATCAAAACATTGTTCCAACACAATAGCAAAGTGCAGAATGAAAATTGGAGTCCAGTTTTAGGTTTTGTAGGATTATACTTAACTGTGCTTCTCAGGGGAATGGAAAGGGATTTACTTCAAGTTTGAGTAAAAACTTCCCTTTCTATGACTGTAGAAGTTACTCTCTGAATTGTGGGAGGGAAAAGACTAAGGAAAGGATAATAGAAGAGAAAGAGATGTAGTGTGGCCTGTGGAAGGGGCAGTAGTTACCTAGAGGGATTTTATAGACATAGGAGGTGGAACATTCACACAGATATCCATTTTGCACAGAGACAAGCAATTCCCCTACCAGTATCCTGGAATCCCATCAGTGCCAATAGACCGTGCAGCCACCACTCAGTCAAGAACTGTACACTGTCTGCACCTTGCAGTCAGTTGTCCTAGTTCTCCCTCATTTGCAGCCAGCCCAGCAGCCAATGACCACATGGCAGGAGTGAGCTCAATCATGCTCCATGGCTTGTTCACTTCCATCAGAATTGCCCTATGTTCACCACACTCTAACCCTAGACCAAAGTAAACCCTTGAGTAATGGAGGGGACTGAGGATACCTAGAGGGCGGTTTACCTAATAGAAAGCAAGTCTATCCTAAATGGAACCCATCTGATATCTTTCCATTGTACAAGGTATCCTATTATACAATTTAAAGTGTCTGTAGAGTCAATATGCGTGATTTCAAATATAGTATCCAGTTAAGAATCGTACTAATCATTATTACTATGATTAATCATGAATTGAACCACTCTGTAGGCAAAACATTGCCTTCACCGTTTATTTCATCTTTGCAAACTTTATGGATCAACAAAAACACAAGCATCATGATTTTAACTTTATTTTAGTGGCAATTGTTTGATGTTATGAAGTTGCTCGTTTAACTCATTCCTAGCGGAGGGGAGGAGAGCTGGTTAGGAAATTATGTTCCTTGGATTTTTAGAGTATGTTACATATATGGACATTGTTAGTATTATTTCCTGTTTTCCTCTCATTGGCTTCTTTTTCATTTTGAACTTTCTGGAATCTCTCCTCGAAAAGCCGTGCCTGTTCCTAAAAGAGAAAGTAGAGACTGAACTCACACAGCTTAAAACATTTCCTACATTTTCCAAATTATTTCCCCTGTCAATAACTACATTAACCCTTCATGAGTTTTTGAAAGTTATTTTGGTAATTCTTTCCTCCCTTAAACTTCAACTATTATCACTGTCCTGAATTTCCTATGCCTGTTAATATATTTTTCTGGGCTTCTTTTTTTTTTTTTAGCTGCAGAAATGTTTTTCTCCTATAGTTTAAAAATATTAGTGACCCAGAATCATATTCTTGGCCCTCTTCACCCACACGCAACACAGTCTTTCTGGAAAAAACTATCATTTTTTTCTCTTCAACTCTGATCTAGGTAGTGTGAACTCAAAAATATACTGAAGAAAATATGGAAGATGGGTGCATTCCAGTAGGAAGGTTACTTTCTGATTCAGAATCATGGCTGATGTTTGATTAGGGAACTTAGTACAAATCTCCCAACTTTGGTGGCAAGGTCACAGAAAACAGTTGAAGAGCTCAGGGCCTGCACTAGCCCATACTGCATTTCTGGGTGGACTCAACTTAGACTTGGGGTAGAGTCTGGAGAACAGGAAGGTACAGGCAGCCTGGGTATTTAATTATGTGGTTAATTGTGTAGAAGTTTATGGCATCTTCCTATTCATTAGGGTGCCTGCAGAGATGAAGTTATATCAGGTATGGCAGAAACAAAATCACTTGGACTTCACTCAGTAGGACAGTCCAGATATCTTTCCACAAGGTGAGACCCAGAAATGTTACTTATCTCTTATGCAATTACAATTTTCTCATTTGAAAAATGAGAACATAATAGTACCTATAACATAACATGAGGACTGGATCACAGACTGTCTGTACAGCCATTGTGCAGTGCTTAGTAATGAATAGCTACTATTTATTAGGGATTTAATAATGAAGAATTCCATGATATTTTATCCTGCAGGTAAATAGCCTTTAGTAACCAGAGATGGTCACAGGTAGAAGCAGTAATAGAGTGAAATGTCTACTAGGGTTTTTTCTAGAATAGCCCTTAATCTGACATGATGCTCTAACTTGTAAGCAGTGTTTTTGATTCAGCCCAAGTAGAAGATGAAATGGCGATGACACAATCGAATACCTGAAGTTTAAGTTCTAGAATCCTCTGTTGCTCGGCCTGGAACTCGGTCTTGTCCTTCTCCATCTTCTCAGTCAGCTGTTTCACATATTCCAGATGACTCTTTTCTTTCTCTTCCATCATCTGCTCATTCTTCTTTTGCATTTCGTCCAACATTTTTTGGGCACCTTCTGCACATTCAGCCCTCACACGTTGCACTGAGGAAGAAAAATAAGAAGAGAAACATGATGGCCTTATTTTGCCTTTCACTCCCTTTTTTTGTTTTATTCTTATTTCATGGAGAAAACTTTCTGGGGTGATTTTTGCACTGAGTAACCAAGAGGCAGATGACTGTAAATTCCAGTTAAGAAAAAAAAAATCCCCTAGAACTATGTACTATACTTGCTATTCTTTGTTCTACAGTAATAATTTCAGGTGGACTAATGTGGCTTACATTAACATTTCTAAGGCTTTCCAACTACCTACAGTGTTTTCAGCTGTTCTCACCTTGACTCTCTTTTTCCTTTTCTGTGAGTGACTGATCAGTCTTTAGAAGTGTATCAGCCACATCCTGCTTGGACTCCAAGTATTTCCTCAGTGTCTCTTCTGCCTAGTGATACAGAAGAAGATAGATTTAGGAAATAGGGATTATGAGTTTAAGCAAAACTCAGAGATACATCTGTTAATTCAATTTAATTTTACCACCCATGTAAAAATCATTTTGGAGTTCAAATGGTATTATATTTCAAACTAAATTGGCCTAAAACCCAACTCTGGATTCCCCTCAAACCTGTGTCATTCCCAATCATCCCAATTTTAGCTATTTAATTTGGTAACTGACTTTCTAATTGTTATGGGTTAAAAACTTTCCAGTCACCCTTGGTATTTTTTTTCTCTCACACACCCCACATGTAATCATCAGCTAATAATGTTTACTCCATCTTAAAAGTAAAACCAAGAAGAACTCATCACTTTTCATCTGATCCTCCCAAATGCCCTGGTCCAAGGCATCATTATATCTTGCCCAGACCATCACGTTAGCTTCATAATTGGTCTTCCTACTTTCATTCTTGGTCCACTATAGTCCATTTTTCTCAGAGCAGGTAATGTTGTGCTATATGATTTTAAGAAAGATCACTTCACTCTTATGGACACAATCTTCTACTGATTTTCCTATTCTTTCTAAATAAAATTCAAACTTTTTCAGTGACTTCCAAGGCACTACCTTGTCTGGCCTCTGGCCTCTGAACACCTATCTGACGTCATCTCCCGCCACCTCCTCCTTTGCTCACTGGCCACCTGCCACATTTCTTGCTTTTCCTGGAACATAAACTAATTTCTTTTTTTGCACTTTTCCACTGTTTGAAATTTTCTTCCCCTAGATGCCCACTTGCCTCACTCAAGTCCTCCTTTGAAGACTCTGCTGAAACGTTACTTCATCAGAAAGGCCTTCTGTAAATCATACATATAAAAGAGCTTCACATTTCTTTCCCCTTCTATCCCTATAACCTACTTTTTTCTTCAGGGCACTTTTTGTCACTGTGATAGTGACCGCTAGAGTTATCCTAATATTATTCTCCCCTTTGTCTTTGGTAACAGAACTCTGAATTTTTTTCTACCTGGGCACATTTCGTATTTTCTAGGCAGCATCCCTGGTAAGTGGGATGCCCATATGATTAAATTCTGGCCAATAATACTTAAGCAGAAGTGTCGTATGGTACTTTTTAAAAATTACCTTAAAGAGAGTTGACTCAAAGGCCTTTTACTCTTCTGTTTTTCCCTTTTCTTTCCATGTATAATATGGAACTAATAGGTGAAACTCTAGCAGCCATAAATTGACCTTTAAAAAGGAGGCTGTGTACTAAAGCACTGGAGCAGAATGAAGAAAGAGGCCTGAGAACAATATTGTATGGAGCTGTCATATCAGCCCAGATTCCCTCTTCCTCACTTCTTATAAACAAGAGAGAAAAAAACTTTTGTCTTTTTAAAGCTACCATTTAAAAAAATAATATACACTCAAGCCTAATTCTAAGTGATATAATCTGAGCACACCAGCATAAAGGAATAGTTAAGAGCACAGTCTGCTATCTGGATTGGCATTCAACTGTACCAGTCATCACCCGTGTTGTTCTTGTGTGAGCTCTTTTACTCCTGTGTCTCAATTTTCATATTTATAAAATGGAGGTATTAATTACATGTACTTCATAGCATTCTTGTGAGGATTGAATGAGTTAAGCCCATTCATTTCCTGAAACACAAGAATCTCTATATGTGTTAACTGTTATTATTTTTGTCTGTAACCTATAATTTGTTTATTGCTGGGAAACACTTTTAGAGGACTTGTTTGTCTCTCTTTTTTTTTTAAATTGCCTTAACCCCAGAAACTTGACAAGACCTGACATATAGTTAAGCCTGAATACATAAATGTTGGATCATTGGATGACTAAATTAATGAATGAATTCTACAAACATTTTTTGGAGGCTCCATCTGCGCTTCCAAGGAGCAACATGCTCTTCATCCCGTGGTAGGCTCCCTTACTGAATAAATCCAGTGAGTGGATGAATGAAAGGCAGGGGCACTATATACTGTTTTAGTTGTTTCCACTACAGTTTGAAAGTCGCCTCAGCAGGTCCCCAGAAATGGTACTTAGTAGGTAGTTTACCTGTATCCCCTTTCTGGGCACCTGATAGTACTTATTTGTCAGCTCCTGTCTCTTCTGAAGAAAGAGATAATAGCCTCCTGGTTTAGCAAATGTTCCCCTCTTCACATCTTCTTCTAAAGGGCTGAAAATATGCTGAAGTAAGGCCACGCAATGATCTGATGATGCTTTCACGTTCTGCTTACAAAAGTCATCTTGTTTTGCTACCAAACAGATCTGTGGAATGACAAAATAACACATATGGTTCAGGAAGCCATGAGAATGTTAGCCACACACAGACTACTGGGGAATGCTTCTCCTGTAGAGACTGTGGCAACCAAACAGGACCTCACCCCTCACCTTGCTGTGAGATTCCAGAATATCCTTAAAAAGAGTCTTGATTAAAAAAAAGAAGAAAAATTACATCTACTTTTCTGGTTGTGATTATCTGAAGCTCCGTTCCCCTATTTTTCCTGCTTCAGAGAATGATTCATGAAGCACAGACATGATTCCAAATGAAACTTCTCTTTTCAATTCTCTAATTTCAGGAGTAGTTTAGAGCATAAATGTTGAAGTCTGGCAGGCCTGGGTGACGTTCCTGGCTCCCCCACTTTGTGGCTTTGTGACACTCAGCCTTTTTGCATTGAGGTTTCCTTGTTGGTAAAACGGGAAATTACATCTATTTCATAGATTTTATTTCAGGATTATATGCAGTGATGTAAAATATTAAGCCCAGCCACTTTTTCATAAGTGCTCAGTAAACGGTCAATGATTAATTGAATGATTAAATGAATAATTCTTTAAAATGAGAATATTTTTGTAGATTTTCTCAGTATAAGACTAATGAAGGTAATGGAGATTGTATTACGGGTATTTTTAGTACTGAGAAAGCCTAATAGAACAGCATATTTACCTACATTAAAGCATTCAAGAGAACTTATATATCAAGCTTTTTCTTTAATCTAGAAGGATGTCCATTGTCTTCTGGCCTTGACCAGCTAGTTTCATCAGAACCTCTGAATGCAGGAAGTTATAATTTGTAAAATCCTGCCTTGCAAACCAGGGGTGGGGATTGTCACTTGTCAACTGATTATTAGTTTGTCATGCAACAATCCTTCCCTAATTTGGAAGGACTCAGACTTGAAAACATTCTCAAATAGCATTCTTTTGATTGGTTTCACTTTCTTGGTTTCCTGTGAATTTTACCATTGCCTTACAGTAAAGGCAATACATTTTTAAGGTTTTCAAAAAAAAATTGAATCCTACCAAGGAATCAGCAGGGAACATGAAAGCCTGGTGCCTTTGATTAGCTTTAAAACAAGAAAATAAATTAAAATAATCTTATATGTGTACAGTTTTAAAATTTACTATTTGCCTAAAATATGGCATTCAGAAGGGGGAAATTAACAGAAGAGAATATTTGTAATAAAGATACTTGGTTATGGTACCATGGTCTATAGGACTAAGGCTAGAGGTATTCTATTCTTTAGTAATGATTGCAAATGAGTACACATTCACTGGGTGCTGCTGTCTTTGGATATAGGAAGAACTACTCCTCTCTAGGAAGACTCAGATTTTTCTATCTCTCATGATCTAGAACAGCAAATATACCCTCAATTCCTCCTGGTACTTTAGGTCCACATCCTTGAAAGAATTCTTCATGAAGACTTTAATGGCCTCTTTCTCACTGGCCCTGTGCAGGTCCAGAAGCTCCTGGAGGGTGTCAGTGGGCAGCCGCAGCTTCTGGCGCATCTGCTGGTCATAGTGGGCAATGGCCTTTTTCACGGCGGCTGAGTTCTCAATCTGGGCCAAGGCCAGGACTGCATTCTCCATGCAGGGCAGATCCCCACTGCTGATGGCATTGACATAGGTCAGCACCAGGCTCTCCAGTCCTACAAACAGGAATTTAAAAGTAGTGACAACTATCAGCTGGCGACAGAGAAACAAACCATATTCTGTTTGGTCCTGAGATTGCAAATTTAATTATTTAATTGTTTAGATCCAACTGCCAGAATATTTTATATGCTTTTCAAGTGTCATACACAATAGTTAAAGATTTTCTGAGGCAGAACAGTGATGAAATATTTTGTTAACCTCTAGATTCAGAGGAGTTTAAAGCTTTTCTTTTCTTCTCCTTCCCTCACCCAGAGGAAAGATGTTGCAATGATTGGATCAGAATAAGGATATTCTGGGGCCTAAGATATTAGGTCCTGATATTTTTCTTAACCATTCTATGCCTCCCTTTTTTCTTCCTTTCTTTCTGTTCCCTTCTTACCTCTAATTTATGTAAAAGGCCAAGAAGAAAACTTAGCGTGTGTGTGTGTGTGTGTGTGTGTGTGTGTGTGTGTGTGTGTGTGTGTCCCTGGTGAAGGCTACCAGTCCTGTGTCTGGCCTAGATAAGTTGCTCCTCATAGCTATTCTTTCATCAGAGCTACATACAGTGTGACCAATTGACCCAGGTTTTCCCAGGGCTTGACTAGTTTTAACACTGAAAGTCTTACAGCCCAGGATTTCCTAGCCTTAGGCAAACTGGAGTGGTTGGTTATTTTACAAGTAGCAGTTCTTTGGGACTCAATCCTGGGTCTTCTCTTCTCTTTCTATAATTTTAAATCCCACCTACATGGATACTAATGAATTTTATTTCCTGCTTTGACTTGATTTTTAGGCTTTAGATTTGTATATTTAAATGTCTTCATGGTATCCCTTCCGAAACACATCATAGGAAAATCAGTATTAATTAATCCAAATCTAAATGGCTTCATCCACTCTAAAAAACCGTTTCTCCTCCAGGCATTCCTCTCAGTAAATAATATCCATTCAAGCAGTTGCTTAAGCTCAGAACCCTGGAGTCTTCCTAATTCCCTCCACATATCCATCATCAAGCCTTACGAATTTGACATTCAAAATACATATGGATTCTGTCCATTTTGACCATCTCCATGATCATAATCTTAGCCTAACAAAATCCCCGTTCTTTACTAAAATATTGCAAATATCACCCCTCTTCTCATCGCCTCCTTTAAATCCCTCCAACATTTTATGTACCAAATACTCTGAAAGACAGTTTTAGATATAAATTAGATAACTTAAACTCTCTGTCTATAATCTTTCAAGATCCTCCCATTGAGTTTAAACCCTAATCTCTTTGAAGTCATCTACCAGTCCTGTCAAGTACTGCCCCCTGCACACTTCTCCAGTCATGAGGCCACTCTTATTCTCTTTACTCTTATTCAAATCACATTGTCTTTCTTTTACTTTCTTGAAGTTGCAGAGTTCTTTCCTGTCTCAGGTTTTCTCATATGATATTATTTCTGTCTGCAAAGTTCTTCCGTATGTTCTTCTGGTTAACTCCTACTAATTTTTTTTTTCTTTTTTTAGCAGGGGCTGCAGGCTATGCTGTAGCCTGCGACTCATGGCATCCCAGCTTCAGGTTGAGCTGTTGTTCGCCATCTTAGCTGTAGGGGGCAGTGTCACTGGCCCTCACGTGGGATCCGAACCAGGGCCCTGCTGCACAGAGCTGACATCCCAAACCAGCTCTTTACCAACGCGCCACTTGGCCAGCCCACTCCTACCCATTTTTAAGTTGTCATCTTACATGTCACTTTCAGAGACAAATATTCCCTGTCTTTGAACCCAAATTATCTCCCACCTATCTACACTCCTTACTCTCTCATAGCAGCCTATTATTTGGATTTATTGTGCTCTTCATTATGATTTAAAAAATTGAAATATCTTTGCTCCTGTTGTGCTGCAATAAGGATACAAATAAAATATTTTTATCTACCATTTTACCTAGTGGTTGGTACATTTAGTGCATGTCTTAGTCAATTCAACTATGTTTGAATTGATGAATAAGGGAATTGTGCTGAAGTTAGTGGCAAAGCTTCACATACATGGAGTATTTATTTGCCTTTTCCTGACTTTGCCAATCTATATCGCTCTCCTGGAAGGATGTTTCATAAATAGGGATCTGTGAATTTGGTGGAGACGGTTACAACACCAGGATGGATTCTAGTTCTTTTCCCGTATTCACTTGGCTCATATAGATATTAGATGACACAAGCAATAGTTTTAGTTGCCACATAAAATTCACAATGTGATCCTTGTGATGCGTATTCCTGGCCATCATTAGAATATGTATTTATCAAAAGTAACCCTTATACCTCCCTCTTTTAGTCTCTACAATGCGCAGAAAGTCCAGGTAAGAAGTAGGCATTGAGAGGGACTCACGAGGTCCATTGACAGTGATGTCGCCTGAGAGAGTCTTGGTCTTGGAAGATTTGAAGATGTAGGAGCAGAAATCTGCTACTTGTTCTCTGAATTCAGGATTCAGGTCTTCCTCCTGTAGCTTCTCCAGGTGGGCAAGGTACTTCCTCTGAGTCGGACGGTCGAAGATGAAACACTTTTTCTTTGGGAAGAACTTTCGGATGCAGAACCGAGGTTCATTAAAGCTTTCAGTTTTTATATTAGTACCTAGAGAAATGAAAATTAGAATTAATACACTTTAGACTAACTACCTCAATTAGATGACCCTTCAACATCATAATTGGCACAAACCCTATGTATAAAATAAGCTCATGATGGACCAGCCATTAAAAAAATTTTTTAAATAGAGAAATAAAATTTCTTCCTTTCTCCAAAAAGAGGGATGTAACTTAAAACTAGATTCACCTGATTCAGTCAAGAAATGTTTTCATTTCCTCTAATAGAACAGCCAGGGTTACACAGTTACAACATTGTACTTTTTAGAACCTACACAGAAATGGTTATTTTCATGTTGTTTTCTCTTTGTTTGTCACCCCGTGATCAGTCCCAGTCACCTTGCTTTAGTTTTAGTGACAGCTCCAGGTACTCATCAGCAGTGATGGGTTGCCCATTGGCTTCTAGCTCTAGGGAGAAATCCCTCAGAGCCCACACGAAGTCTGGAAAGAAGCTCACGAAGTCAGCTGAGTCTTTAACCTCACTGTCACCAGGTGAGGATTTTGCCCTGATTCGTTCTGTCAGTTTTGTCACATAGCTGAGATGCTAACATAGGAAAACTGCAGAAAAAGAGTAGCACGTTTTCTGCTATATTTCCTCCCAATATTCAGCTAAACTATTTTTTCTCTTAATTAGCTCATTCATTTATTCATTCATTTATTCCACAAACACTTATTGATCACTTGCTGTGAACCAGGCACTAGTCCAGGGACTAAGAATATTGTGATGACTATCATCAGAGAGCTTGTATCCTAGTGAGGGAGACAAATGATAAACAAAACAAAAATATAATAAAATCTGAGACCCTGAAAAGACTTGGATTTCTGGGAGTGGTTGAGGTAAACTTGGATGTTGAGCGTAATTTGATTCATTAAGGAGGGGACATATGATTTCTTCTGTAGTTCCCCACTATATGTGGTGAAAATATGAAGCTGTTATTTTCCAGATTTAGTGTTGTTGTGGACCACAAAAAGGATACTGCAGTTGGTCTATGGCCTGCTGGTTGATGGTCCCCACGCTGTTGTAGACAAAGGTGCTGCTCAGGAGTATTGCCAGGGCAAAGATCCAGGAGTTATTCTGGTTGTCATCCTGGAAGTCATTGTAGAAGCCACATAGAACAGTGAGGAAGGGCAACATGCTTTCAGTTCAGATGGATAAAATCTGAACCCAGCTCTGTATGTAGCTGTGGAGACTTAGGTTAGTCATCATTTCCCCATGCAAATGTTTTCTCATCTGTACAATTAAATTCATGGTGTTGTGAAATTTAAAGGAGGTATTATATATAAATGCATATGAGTGTATGAAGCACATAAGCACTTGATAGTAGCAACTATTATAATTAGGTAATACATTTCAAATGGATCTCCTGAACTTCGATTGTGATCCTATTCCACTCCCATGACTTACCATGTCATGGTAAGGAACTTCATAGACAGTAGTTACAATATTATTCTTTTTCATTTTTTTTAAATTGAGGAACAGCCATGGTCATTGGTTACACATTGCTTTCATGGTACAGTGTCATAGTTGACTATTTTAGGGAGGGCGCAGCTCACAGTGGCCCATGTGGAGATCGAACCGTCAGCCTTGGTGTTATCAGCACCACTCTCTAGCCAACTGAGCTAACTGGCCACCCAAACTATGCTTCTTAATAAGAGTTCCCTAGGTCTAAGACATATACGAGTAATAATGTATAATCCTTTGTGAACAAAGCTGTTGGCATTAGATATTATATTTTGCTTCTAATGAATAGTACTGCACTGGATAACCATTCTTACCATCTTTCTGGGTTCCGATCATGAAAAGTCATACATTGTAAAATATCTAGCCATGCTTAGAGGCACCTTTAGCAGCCTCACCAAAACATTTTCCTATGATATTAAAGAAAAATGACTATAAACATCTTTAGCTATTATTTTATGGGTTGTATAACCTATCAATTGACCTTATTGTCCATTTGCAATGCTTATAGATGTAGCCAGGTGGAATTCAGTGTTTGAGGTGTGCAACAACTCTTAAATTAGTTTGTTATGATTATACATTATGTTTACTTTCATTATAGAAAGCTCATTTGGTTGGCTTCAAATTGGATCTAAGGTCAAATATTGATCACAATTCAGTAAATGTAAAGGATAATACTTTGATATGATAAGTTAGAAGCATAAGTCAAGCAGTGGGGAGGGATAGCATAAGGAGGGCTACTGATCTGACACAAATAGGATTTAAAAGATTTATTTTTTACCTTCTCTACATCCCCCAGGCCCTCAGTGTCAAGCAGAACGAGGGTGTGGCTTGGCTTCTCGGGGTGAGGCACACACCACATCCAGATTCCCTTGGTGTGAGACTGCACCGTGTAGCCCAGAGAGAAGCCTGCAGAGGGAGTGGAGATAAAAGGGAGTGGAATTTTAATGGGAGATGGTTCTGGAAATTGAGATAAAATTTAGTGAAATCGAAGTTGAAACAGATAAATTAAACCATAATCAGTGTTGATCTTAATTACAACCAGAAAAAATAGGGCAATCAGAATATCTAATACAAAGTGAAACATTTATTTCACCTTAAAGATCAGTGCAAGCTTAATAAAAGACAACAAAACAAAACCCAACAATACAAAACAAAAATAAAGAACAGTGCACTCTAGATATTAATATCCAAACATTTTAGTAAATGTTTTATAGTTTATTATTATGAATATTAATTGTCTTATTTACTACCTTATTCCTTCCAGAAAGGCACATTTATACTTTAAAAGGGAAAATGAAGGCAAAGCGGGAAGAAAGAGTGAGTTCATTCTTATCCTCCAGAAAAGAGTAAATGTAAGGAGAGCATCAGTGAATCGAAAGTTAGGTTTCAATATTCCTCCCCATATCTAACTTTCTCTCCTCACATCGCCATAGTCAATGCCGGGAGTGTGGGTGGACAGAAAGGACTCAGCAGAGCTTTGCTGGTGCCACTCACCCTTGTTCTTCCCAGCCAGCTTGTTCAGCAGGTAGGATTTGCCTGTGCGGTAGAGACCCACAACAGCCACCACGACAAGAGGCTGCTTAATGGCAGACAGGATCTTCAAAGCTTCTGGATTAGGCACCAGTTGCCCTTTAGTGTTCTCAATGAGGCACACTGGGCCTGGCATGTGGATCTCGGAGGCCATGTCCAGGGTGTCACCTTGCCTGGAAGGGATGTGATGGAATGGAAAGCAATTTCTCGTCAGTTAGCTGAGCAAGAACTTACAATATGGACTAAAATTTTATTTTCTGTCCTTGGACTTTCTTCCCTATGAGTTTTAAAAGTTCTGTGTCCCCTGAAGATTGTCCTATGGACTAGTCCACTGGTTCTCTTTAAAAACAACTTGACTTTGGAAAAATTTAGACTTACAAAAAAGTCGTAGAATAGGTAGTGTTTTCATATACCATTTCCCCAGTTTCCCCAAGTGTTAATATATTATATAACCATAGAACAATTATTTATACAGGATTTTAACATAGATACAATGCTGTTAACTAATCTACACACGTTTTCCTAATTTCACCAGCTTTCCCACTAATGTCCTTTTCTGATCCACGATCCAGTCCAGGATCTCTCATTGCAGTCGTTATGTTTCCTTGGTCTTGTATCATCTTTGATAGTTCCTCATTTTTTATTTTGTTTTTCATGATCTCCACATTTTAGAAGAGAACTGGCTGGTCAGTTTGTAGAATATCCCTCAATTTGGGTTTTTCTGATGTTTTCTCATAATTAGATTGAGGTTATGCATTTTTGGCAAGAATGCCATCAAAATGATGTTCTGCCAGTCTCAGAGCACTGCATCAAGGGATTTTTGATGCCAATATAGCTTACTCTGATGCTATTATGCTAACTTTGATGACTTGCATACAGTTGTGTCTGCCAGATTCTTCATTGTAAAGTTAGTATTTACTTCTTTGTAATTACAAAGTACCATTTGGGACCATATTATTGAGGCTATGCAAATATATTTTCATCATACTTTTATATCATTTTATTGTTAATTTAGCATTTAATGATGATGACTTTTGCTTGTGGTAATTATTACAGTAGTGTTTGCCTATAGGTCATTTTGTATTTTCACCATTCCTTCAACATCTATTAAACTTCGCTCTACTATAAGCAAGCACTGCCCCTCTTCTCCATTTATTTATTTACTCATTCAATTACTTAGTTGTATCAGAATAGATTCATAGATATTTATTCTATGGGATTTAACACTTTGCTCTCATTATGTATTTTGTTGCTTCATTTGCCCCAGATTTGTTCATTGAGGGCTCCTTCAGGCTGGCTCCTGTGTCTTTTTGGCATGCTCCCATCATCATCTGAGCACGTCCTTCCTTTCTGGCACCAGAAAGTATTCCATCTTGCATTTTCCTTGATTCGGCTCTAGAATCGACCATTTCTCTCAGAAGCCCTGATTCTTTTCTTTGGGTAACAGAACTTAGATGCCAAGATATCACACTAGGTGTGTGCATTGCTTCCAGGCCTCTCAGGGGTGAAGTTAAGAAATATCTGTATGTATGTTAGCACATATGTACACACATCTATATTTAGTTCTTTATCCACCCATTTCTGTAGATAACCTTGGTTTCCTGCTGACATTTCCAATCCAATCTAACACAGCAGGGTTTATTCAAGCTTTTCTCCTTTCTTTATTTTACTCCTTTCACTTATTCTGAGAGTCCTAGCTCTTGTTATCTATAATAAATTTACTTATTTGCTCAATTCTAGTATACATATGAAGTGTTTTCAAAATTTTTAATTCATACTCCTGTGATAAATAAATTAACTAATTTGAGTACGTTATTAGTGTACCATTCTCTATTTCTTTAGCCTTATGTATGCAGACAGAACACTGTATGCCCAAGTTTCTTAGATTAGTTCTTTTCTTCCTCATCCTCTTCAGTGTGGTGAAATTAATCATTTGTAGTGTAATTAGGTTCACTTGTTACTGTTTTTGTTTCATTTCAGCCTCCCCCAAGTCTTGGTTGATTTCAAGTATTATTTATTTTTTGAATATGTGAAACATAACCTGTTTCTAAGTCAGCTTTCCAAAAAGGTATCTTCAGAGAAATGTTACTTCTCTTTCACCTTACCATCAAATTCTCAGTTTACCTTTCTTTCTATTTTTACTACCCCATTCTCACCCATCTCGTATAAGTTCTCAATACTTAGTTTCTGTTTATACTTCTTAGATATCTTTTCCACAAATGAGCAGATATATGTATGTTTTCTTATTCACATTTTCTAACATGAAAGATCACATGGTATAGATATTTGGAAATCACTCCATATTGGTTCATAAAAATTTTTCACGTTCTTTTTGGCTGGTGTTACTCCATTATAAACATATACCATAGTCTATACAATCACTCTCCTATATAAGCACATTTAAATTGCTTCCAATTAAAAAAAATTACAAACAATGCTGCAGTGAATAACCTCTGATAACTTTGTACATATTTATTTTCATATTGTAGATCTTTCATCAGGCTAGATTCTTAGAAGCGGGAATGTTGTGTCAAAAAAGAACACATGCTTTTGTTACATATAGCCAAATTCTTTTCCAGAAAAGTATACCAGATTGCATGCATTCCTACCAGCTCATCCTGTATCTCATTTTCCGGAAAATAGAGATTTTTCCTTGTTTCTCACATCTTCTGACTTCATTACAAAATTTTGTTTTAAAGCTTTTCACCATCACATTTATTGTAGATATTTAGACTGAACAAATATGAGATCTCTGAGCTTAGGTATGAAGCAAAAGGAGAATGCTGTGCAAAACTTATCTATGTACTTTGAAACACAGACATCATCCTAACCCAGACAGGGACCTCATTTCTCTCAAGTCTGTTTCTGGGCATGGTCTGGGTCAGATGGAGGAACTCAGGTTCCCCAGTGGCTTCTTCCTCTCACTGTGCAGGAGACCCCAGAGCTGCCATGATAAAGGTCGAGAAAGAAATAACAATCTTAAAACATTCCAGTCAGCCTAGGCTCTCCCTCTGCTGGAACCGAATTCAACACAGAGCTGGCGCAGCAGGCACCTCAGGGGCGCCCTGCTGCCTGATAACCTCAGGATTTCATCTGAGCGTGTGTGCCAGTGATCAGCTGCAGCCTATCATGCGATGGTCATTTCAGACTAATATAAGCGACCCTTATAAATCCCTTCCCACCCTGCCTCAATCTTACCTGGAACAGAGATCCATTAGAGTTGGGAAGACAGCAGCTTCAATGAGAAAGCTGTAAGTGCTTCTCCTATTCCCTCTTCTGAGTTTCACTGTACTGGTGTCTCTTTCACTGGCAATTTGGCCTTTTATTTGACCCCTCCAATTTCCTAGAAAGTACCGCAGTTTCTTCAGAAACCTAATGATCAACAAACTATGCAAAGAAACAGACTAAAACTGAAAGCACTGACTCCAACACGGTCACTCAGCAAGAGAATTTCTGAGAATTATGCTTAAGAGGGTTTGACATGGTTTCTCAAACAAATGATCAAAACCACATATTTCGCTACTTTGCACTGTCTCTAAAAGGACATACACACACACACAGACATAGATAAGTTACTTATCATAATAATTTATCTTCTTTTTTAATATATGCATATCACTTTATACTTTCCTGTAAATATTGCTTTAATTGTACCCTGCATACTTTAAATGTAATATTTTCATTTTCATTTAGTTAAAAAATTTTCTAGTGTAATTTCTTACTTGACCTATGGGTTATTTAGAAATATATTTCTTAATTTTTATACATATGGTAGATTATCTAATTATCTTGATTTCTAACATTCATCTGGTCAGAGAACATAGTTTGACTTCCATTCTTTGAATAAGACTTTTCTTACTTATTTTATTATACAGTCGGGGGTTAAGAATATTCCTTGTGTACTTTATATACCCTGCGAAATTTCAGTGCAATGTTCTATACAGGGGTCGGCAAGCTTTTGAGACGTATGTACCCAAAGAGCCGCATGTGGCTCACAAGCCGCAGTTTGCCGACCCATGTTATGGGTATTCATTAGGTCAGTTTCGTTAATCGAGTTACTCATGATGTTTTTCATCATTTTTGTTCGTTTGCTTGTTCTAGAAATTACTAAGACAACTGTGGTCAAATCTCCAGCAATGATTGTGTATTTCTCCTCTTTTTCTCAGCTTTTGCTTTACATAAATTTAAAGCCACATTATTGAGTGTGTATATATACAGGGAGTGCCAAAAAAAATGTATACATATTTTTAAAAAGAAAAAAACTATTAAAATTGTAATACTCAATATATACTGATAACAAAAGATGAATACAAGTCACATTTGACTTTTACAATTACAAGAAGTGCTCAAAGTGGTTACCATCAACGTCCAGACACTTCTGATGATGGCGAAATAAGATAATATCTCTTAAAATTTGTATACAATTTTTTGGCACACCTGGTATACATATGTGTATATATATTTAAATTTAACACCA